ATTCGTATAAATGTTCATGTCAGTCCTGCTTTCTAAAGCCACATTCTGCTCGGCTGCAGTCACATCTGTGTGCAGCGCAGACAATTCTTCTTACTGCCTCACTTTTCCCAAAGAGTTCCTCGGTGTCAGCATGTGATTCAGATCTTTCACTAACGTTGTCACAGCCAATCAGACGGTGGATGTCACATACCAAAATAGCGTGCACCCCCGCTAGAAATGAAAACTGAATTCACAGGCATCATAACGTGATAGAAGGAGGACAGCAAGTTGCCATCGATCTCCAGTAGCCCTGTTCAATAAATGAGTCCAGATCTAGTGACACATGGTAGATATGACCAACCGTTCACTCAGGTTCTTGGCCACCGCAGCTTTATCCCAATTAAAATTTGATCCACCATCAGCCCCATTCTGCTTGGCCTCATTGCACGGCCGGCAGTTTCCAGGGTTACTGTAAATGACTGGGTTTCTGCAATCTCACAGAATATGTGCACTGATCAAGCACAGACAAACACAAAGTAAAATAAACCTTTCATGTCAATATAAAACTGGAGACAACTCGAGGAAACTGGAGGCTTTATCCATTGCTTTTAATATTCCACCAAACCTCTCCTTGGAGAGCAGCTGTCAAAGCACTGTCCAGCCGAGCTATCCAGCGCTATCAAGTCTCTGCTTGCTGTCTTGTATAATGCTTTCCACTGGGAAATGCCAGTTTCCTACCATGTGTGGTCCATGTGGAAAAAAAGACACGATGAACCACCCTCTGTCTTTTGAAAGAGAAGCTATGAAGTTTAAAGCCTTTCACAATTTTTAACATTTTAGATTTGATTTTATAATTTCCTATATATTTTGTATTGTATGTTATCTATCTATCTAAATGAACAATGACGAACAAGCATGTGGAACAGCTTGACAAAACTGGGAGACTTTACTTCGTGTAACTGATAATCCTTTCTATCCTGTGGAGGAGCACATACTGTTGGGAGGCCTAAACGTTTAAGCATGACTGGTTTGTTGTCTTAAAAGTCCCCAGTGAGGAGAAAAAATCTCCCAGCCTGTTTTCAAAGAGGAATCTGACCTCTGAGAAGAAAGAGGGGGAGTCGAAAAGGACACCACTTTGGCTGTCCTGAGAGTTGCCATTGTAGTCAAATAATAAATGACAAAACTTTTAACTCTGTAATTTTTATTTTTATTATTAATGAATATTGACTGGATATCACATTGTTTAGATCATCCGGTGGAGTACCATTCCAGCGTCTCACAAAATCATTCACAGTCACAACAAAATACAAAGATCCTTTCCATATCCTGTGGCCGTGTAAATAACCCTCCAATTCTTTTCATCTCAGAATAACACAGTGGCAGCCATCTTGAGATGGTTGGTGCAGAGGAAAATTGATTGCTACACAATCATCAAGCAGCAACAGCAAAATTGGACCTGTCAGGGCCACACCTCAGTTTCAAACATCCATTCAACTTATGAATTACAGAGCAGGGAGAGGCTAGGTTGTTCTAATCTATAGGCTCTTATATGTCAAGCACAGCCATACTGTTGTTCTATCATGGTGCTTTTTTTGCCATATACTTTGCAGTGAAATCTTCAATGGCAGTTGGCATGGCAACCACCTGGGTACGAGAAGAATGAATGGTACCACTGGAGCTCTGCTGTCCTAAACTAATCAGCTGTATTGTCCTCTGTTCTGCCAGTTTCTTCTCTTATCAGATCTTGTATACGGGACCCATGCTGTGAAGCCTGGCTGGTACGTTCACTATATTTTCCAGCAACAGGATGCACTGCATTATTTCCTGTCAGAGCCCATTGTATCCACAGCACACACACACTACTAATACACTCCTCATCATTGGAACGCTATTAATGGCACTGTTAGATGGTCTCCTTTAGTAATTATCTGAATGAAGGTTAAGGGTCTTGCAGCATTTTGTAGCAGGAAAGCTTGTTAAAGCTCAAGGTCATTGGCTTGTTTGTGTCTTGGTGACTGTTGCAGCCAACATCGCTTTTTAATCCCTGCTGCCTGTAGCACAAACTGACAGTTAATTCTGTAAATGCAGCCCACTTTGTTTTCGTTGGTTTTTGTCATTTGTTCCCCTGTGCTGCTGGAGAGACTTTCACCTGATGAGAGGAGACAGTTTGATGCTAATGTCCTGGTATGCTCCAGCCTCACTAATAGCAAAACCAAGCTCTCTGTGATCTCCAGGGAGGTTCAACAGAAAAATCACGCTTTCAGTCTTTCACACTGACGGACGACACAACGAGGATACAAACACAGTCCTATCTACACAGGTTATTGTACCTGTGATTATTGCACCTTCATTAGCACGTGATGTGTGAAAATTAATTTTGAATTCATGTTCAACATTTAAAGAGTAAACTGCAAATGGCTCTGTGATATTCACTGTTGTTAGGAAATAAAAGCATGTTAGCAGAATAAGTAAAGAATTTAACCCTCAAAGTCAGTAATCCAGTTTTATCATTATATTAAAAATAATAAAGAATTAGGAACCATGACCACCTTTATTGTCTATGACACATGAGGCATATATATATATATATATATATATGGGTTATGGATGTTACCACCGTAACAGTAATAATAATAATAATCTGCATATGGTTTTCACAATTGAAAAGTGAATAATTTGGTTAAAAAATGTCATACAATAGTGAAAAGCCAAAGGTTGTCATAAAAATGTCATGCTTTGTATGACCAACTGATAATCTGTTGACAATAGCATGAGAAAATGTATATGTCTGTAATTTTTGCTTAACAATTGACATCAAAATTGATTTATTGCTGATTGATCAATTAATCAATTAATCAAGCAACAGTTCTATCTGCACCCAAGACAAAAAGACAGAGGAGCTCTCCCCTTCAATCCTCCCTGTGCTCTCCTCTGCAACGTATATTAGACCAGGGAATAAATCAAGTGATGGATCATTCCAGCTGTGTTTGTACAAGTGGAGAAAAAATCTCTCCTGTTCATGTCAGGAAATTATATATGCAAATGGAAAACCTCAGCAGAAGATGAATGAGACTATAAAACCTGAGAAATATGGAAGCTTTAGTTTTATAATAAAAAAGGAGTATCATGATTGCCTGGCATGAGAAAATCTATCTGGCAGCTCAGACGGTTATCAAACCAAATGTCATATAAAATCCATCTAAAACATGTAACTCTATCAGATGGAGGCCATATGTTGGAGAGTAAAGAATGACAAAAGCAAAAAAGCTATTGAAGCATGAAAAATACATAATAACAACAAGGACAAAGAACAACGATAATTATTATAATATGTTTAGACTTAGCATATGAAAGTTCAACCTAATCATCATATCACAGAAGGATTCCATTATTTTATGTAAATGTATGATTTAAATACAAAGATCAAATGTATTTTCTTGTTCGAACAAATGCAGGCGTAGCGTTTATCAATTGTATCAAAGTATCTGGGGTAAAAGTAGTGTTGATAAATGCTTGATGTTTTAATGTCTATTTATATCATTTAGAATATTAATGATAATTATTTGTGCAATTAATTATTTATTTTACTGAAGCCAGCTCAGGTGTCGAACTATTGTTTTGTTGTTCATTATCCTGTTTAAAAATTAGCGAGTGGAGACACTGACAGATAAAATGAAGAGTCTAAAGTTATGAGAAGAAAAATAGCAAATATAATTTTATCATGCATCTTGTTAAAAATAAAGCACAGTGTGTGTGCACTGGGGATTACTATCAAGCTCTGGTGCTGGAATATTTGAATCCTATATTATTCAAATAATCCTATATTTGAAAAAATGATCATTAAAAATATCCTCACAGACATTTGATCAGGAAACAGCATCCTCTTGTGTTTGACAGACAAAGTCACACTGTCCAAACATGTTAATAAAAGGCTTTCTTATTTACCTACTTAAAAACTTACTGATTTACTTAATAGTCAGTGTGAGCGATATAAAATAAACAAGGGATTAAGGGGAAAAAAACAGTTCTACAATCTTTTTTGAATCTCGCTTTTTATTGTTTCCATGAAAAATACAGTCACCTTAACCATACGTGTTATGGTAATGTTTACCTATAAGAACGTCAAATAAAGGCACACAGCATAATGGAGATAGAAGCATCCAAAAAACAGAACAAGCAAACAAACACACACACTTATATATATATATACCAACATACATTCGCACATATAAATTTACAAAACAAATTCCCAGCGTTTACGTGCGTCTTTTTGATGCTGCTCTCATACAAAATAGAGACTGTGTACATACTGAGTAGTTCAATCAGTCAATCAATCAATCAATCAATCAATCAAATGTATTTATATAGCAGGGTATCACAACAAACAGTTGTCTCAAGGTGCTTAAGATCTTAAGAAACACAAAATCCAACTTGTTCCACACCGAGCAAGCATGAGCAACAGCGGGGAGGAAAAACTCCCAGGTGGAAGAAACCTCCGGCAGAACCGGGCTCAGTGTGGACGGCCTCTGCCAGGACCGGCTGGGGTGATGGAGAAAGAACAAAGTTACGACATGTTTAAGGCACATTTAGAGACGATTGATGAAAACAAACTATAAAAATAAAGAAGACAATTAAAAAATCTAAGTGAATTATATAAAGGTTGCAACCATAATATTAAGGAAATTGTATTTTGCCATAACTCCCACCCCCTATAATCAGTTCTATACCCTATAAACTCTTATGAACTATTATAAACTATTATTAACTTGTATAAACTATTATTATCTCTTATTAACTCTTATAAATTCCCAATTAACTGTTATAACTCATAAACTAGGTTATGAATAAACTATATCTCATAAACTCTTATTATTCTAAGAGACAAACACAAAATGATTTCCTCTGCAGTGTGAAACAGTCTCTAACTGGCTCGTTCCTGGAGAGGAGGCGGGGCTACAGCTGCACGTCGACCAATAGCAGTCGAGTTCATCGCCTGACATCAAAAAGTAAACAGACTTGTTTTGATCTGTCAAAATAGAATCAGGCGCGTGAGCTGGTGATTTGACTGAAGGGATCAGTGTCACTGTGTCAAACTGTGCTCGTTGGACTCTTTGTTTCCTGACGATCACGATGATGAGTCAGTGCAGTTTCTGGTTTTAAACAGTAACTCGCTGTTTTACAGCGTCACATCAGCTAACAGCTGATAGCCTCCTAGCTAACGTCCCTGCCTGGTCAGAGTTAACATTATCTGACGGCTTAGCGGCGTATGGGCAGCTAGCAGTAGGTCATCTGGAGGATAAATGCATGTCACTGTATAGTCTCACGTCCTTGTGATCGGTGTGTGTGTTAAGTTGCGGTGTGGAAGTAGCTGTAGCATAGTTCTGAAAGTGACGATGCATCGCGAAGGAGGCGTATCCACCCAGCTTTAGCCGCTAACTGCCCTGATCCCCCTGATACGTGTGACAGTCGCAGCGCTGTCATGGATTTCTAAAGAGTATGGAAGAACCTTAGGATGGTGTCCGCTCCAGGGAGATAAAGAACCGCGATGAAGCCTGAACACCAGTGTCTTGCCATGGCTGAGGATGGAAAGAGTCCGGTGGGAGGAGGCCCTGGTTCATCGGGCCGTCAGACCTACAGGAGTTTAGCCCATTTCCGCAGCCTGCTGGACGGCCTGCTGGCTCTCAGACAGGGGGGCATCCTGTTCGATGTGGTGCTGCTGGTGGAGGGTCGACCCATCCAAGCCCACCGCATACTGTTGGCAGCCTCCTGCAGTTACTTCAGGTAAGTGTGACCCACAGCAGGATGCACCGTTGCTTGACTTGCTTTTTAATCTCATAATTTGTGTGACATCATCTGCAAGACTCTCCGCAACACCTCACTCATGCACGTGGACACCAGTCAAAAGTCACTTTGGACAAAGTGCAGTTATAATGGCACATGCAGAACAAGCTGCACTCACATGAAAGCCAATTACCATGGCCAAAGGCCTCCTGGCAACTGAACATATCACAAGTCAGGCAGTTTGACACAATTACTTTTACTTTATAACAGTTGTACATTTACATACACAAAAATACTCAATCTAATCAGTGAGCGCAGGTGTGTCCCGCCCAATGTCACAAGACTTGGTGTGGAGTCCAGTTAGAAATAAAGTTCCTCCTCTTGTATCTTATCAATGTTGTCATATGATCAGCGGTCATTGTGGATTGACTTTGTTGTCTGTGTGTCCTAGTGATTTCCTCGTCTGCTTATGTCATTACATAAGTGATCTTTCAACTATTGTACTTTACGCTATCTTGTAGTTTACTGAGCAGGGAAAGATGCTTCTCTTGCATTGTGCAGCTAAACCAGAGCCCTACTTTTAGGCCTGAAATCCCATTAAGATGCTAAAAGTAAGCAGACAAGGTACAGTAGGCTTTCACTGTATCCTGGTGAATGTGCTTGTGTATCAGCAATAAAAAGTCAAGTTCAATTCTGTCAACATAGATTTGATCGAGAGGGTTTCTCTGCTGAAAATGGGCTTTTTCTTTTAGCATTTTGTATTTATTACACATTTCCAATTACATAATGAGAGGAAATTTGCAGAGTAAGCAAAAGGTCTTTGCGGTCATTAGGACATGCATTTTATCATCACTGGGCCACCAGATTGATCCCACATCACGATAAGATCACAACAACAACATAGCACTCCCCTCTCCACCAGGGGAATGTTTGCTGGAGGCCTTCGGGAGACACAGCAAAATGAGATACCAATTCATGGAGTCTCCTACATGGCCATGAAAAGAATACTTGACTACATCTACACCTCGGAGATTGAGTTAGACCTGGAGTGTGTCCAGGAAGTCCTGATCGCTGCCACACTTGTACAGGTAAGATATTTGTTGCTCTTTTTGCAAAATATTGCGTTTTTTATTTTGCAGCTGACCTTTGTACTTTTGTGTTTCATAGCTTGACAATGTCATCGGCTTCTGCTGTGATTTCCTCCTCTCCTGGCTGGATGAGGACAACATTTTAGAGGTGCATCATCTCGCCGATCTGTATGGACTGCAGCAGCTCAACGACCGAGTCCACTCCTACATCCTCAGGAACATTCAGACTCTGTCTCGCAGCGACGTGTACCGACAGCTCCCCGAAGACGTAGTGTTCCGAGCACTGAGCAGCGAAGAGCTTCAGGTGAACAGTGAAAACGAGGTGTACGAGGCGGCTCTTCATTACCACTACAGCCCCGAGCAGGTGGAAACTGACCAGGTGTACTTGCAGGTCAGTCCCAAGGTGTGTCTGCATTTTATACTCTCTTCTCCTTCTCCATCACATACAAAGTATTTATAAAGCAAGAAAGGTATTAATAACAGTTGCTTCTTTTGCTATATCTCTGAATTTAAGGATAATCTCAGGATGATTGATGCTGTGCGTTTCTGCCTGATTGAGAAAAAAGTATTGCAGAGACTGTACGGCAGACTGAACCAGTGTCCGCTGAAGGATTTGGCCTCAGCCGCCCTGACTTACCATGAGCAGGAGATCTGGCAGCCCGTCCTGCAGACTCCTCTCACCCAGCCGCGGTCCACCTTCCATTGTATCCTGGGTTTCGGCGGGATGTTCAGCTCCGGCTCCCTCACAGACAACGAGCACCTGTTTCAGGTGTTCCACCCGAGCTGGGGGGAGTGGAGGGCTCTCACTGCAGCACATGCACCGCGAATGTCCAACCAGGGCATCGCTGTGATCAACAACTTTGTTTATCTTATTGGAGGAGACAAGAACACCACTGGATTTCGAGCGGAGACCCGCTGCTGGAGGTGAGATCCCATCAGAATATTTGGTTACTTCAGAGGAACACAGATCAGACTTGTCTAGTCTACAACTATCAGTTCTTTTCATTATTATAACTATTTCTCATTTTAAATATTTCTTTGACCAAGTGGAAAACATTATTTGATTTGGTCGCTGCTCTGGTCACGGAGATGTAAAAGTTCCAGTTCCCTTTTTTTAAGAGCCCCTTAATATATGTTTACATCTACATTTTGCCTTTTTAACTGACTTTGGAAGTCACAGTTGAGAAAACAATCTTAGCTTAATTGTGTCGCTAGATATTTTCTTGCAGATGTAAAAAGGGCTGAAAGAAACAATTACCTTTGGACATTTACAAATCCATCTCCTGATGAAAATCATACGATCCGATCAAAAGCCCAGAGGAGCTATTAAACAGACCTCGTTCTGATCCATGCAGTTAAATGTGAATTTTCCCTTTCATAGTTAATTTTATTAAATATCTACTTTGTGCACAGATGTGTTGCCCACTGATTGAATTTCTGGAGTCATATTTCTTCTTCACTCTTTTGTCTCGTCCGTTCTTCCCAGATACGACCCCCGTCACAACACCTGGTGTACCATCCAGCCACTGCAGCAGCAGCGTGCGGACCACTGTGTGTGTGTGGTGGGCGACCATATTTACGCCATCGGAGGACGAGACTACAGTAATGAACTGGACTCAGTGGAGCGCTATGACCCGCACACCAACAAGTGGGAGTTTGTGTCACCTCTAAAAAGAGAGGTATGAGATGAAAAAATAACAGCATGTAATACTTGTACCATCCACATGATGCTGCTACACACTCACCTGATATCTGTTGATAGGACTGTCCTGCTGTTAACCAGGTATTATCCATTTCTTACCATCTCTTAAAAAGTCTTACCTTCTCTTTAGGTGTATGCACATGCCGGAGCAGTGACCGGCGGAAAGATTTATATAACCTGTGGCCGCAGAGGTGGGGCTTACCTCAGAGAGACGTACTGCTTTGACCCTGTGGCAAATCACTTGACGGCGTGTGCGGAGGGGCCGGTAGAGAGGGCCTGGCACGGCATGGCAGCTGTAAACGGACGCGTTTATGTCATCGGCGGAAGCAATGATCAGCATGGATATCGGCGTGATGTCCTGAAGGTACGATGTCACATGTCATTAGTGGTGTTAACGCTGCTCAGTGAAGGCAGTGCTCACACAATTTTACACAGATATGAGCTTTCATGAGCTTTCATGAGTTTAAAGGTTACCTTCACCCCTACATTTCGGATTTAGTGTCCCTTCCTGGAATTTCAAAAATTGCCTATAGAACACAGTGGTGGAAGACGGGGCTAAGATGGAACGGCTCTCCCTCCCTCCCACACACAGACATGACAAACTCCCACACACATATAAGAAATACCATTTTGCCATCTACGTTGTCTGACTCCAGTGGCAGTGACACACACGTTTGCGTGGTTTCCTGATTGCCAAGTTCACGTTCATCTGAGGAGCATGGTGGACCTACATTAGCTACGACCCTGTAAGGTCCAGGACGGTATGAAAACCTAGGTGGCGTTAGGAGCCATGATTTATTCATAAATGTGATATTGAAACCAGCATTAATGTGTTTCAACAAAGAACAGTCACATAACTTTATTTACAACTTAAAATTACACACTTCACTTAAATGTGCAGCATCTCTGTAAAAGCCTGTGGATTTAATGAAATGAATTAATATTATTAGTTTGGAATACACTTTAAGTGATGCCCCCCCCTCCTGTTTTTCTCTCCTCAGGTTGCATGCTTTGACCCCACTGCCAACTCTTGGTCTTTAATGACCCCTCTCCCCGCTGGACACGGAGAACCTGGCGTAGCTGTGCTGGACAGTTACATCTACATCCTGGGTGGACGCTCTCACAACAAGAGTAACAGGATGAAGTATGTTCACGTGTACAACACCGACGCAGACGAGTGGGAGGTCGAGACAGAGTTTAAGGAGCGTGTCTCGGGCATGGCAGCCTGCGTGGTGCCCATGCCCCCTAATGTGATCGCCCAGGCCAGGAGCTGGGAGCAGCGCACCAAGGCTTCTTGGGAAGACCTGGAAAACTCAGAGGACTCTAATGAGGACTGAAGCAGCTGTGTTGGACTGAATGTCTGTGCACTGGAGACTGTTGATGCACTTTTTAAAACAAATTCAGCATGTTGAGTGTGAAGTACTTTTAGGATGTTGTTGTGGCAGCGGTTTATAACAGCATCATGTCCTCTTTGCATGTTGACCACTTTGAGTGCCTCTGAACCAAAGTGTCATTCAGGATCTTTGCATATTTATATTTATGTCTCAGCTACAGAGTTAGCCCCTGTTCAAACATGTTATAGGAAAAATGAAAGTTCTCTCATTATCTACTCACCACTATGCCGAGGGAGGGGTGGGTGAAGTGTTTCAGTCCACAAAACTCTTCTGGAGTCTCAGAAGTAAACTTTGTAGCAGCCGAATCCAAAACAACTAAATTCAGTGGTGACCGACACTTCAGAGGTAATAAAACAACAGAAAAAACATGACATGCCTCCATACTGCTCGTGTGCTGTCATCCAACTGTCCACAAGCCCCGACATTCACTTTTGACTGGAAACTAGGTCATTTACACCATGTTTAAGCCTGAATGTCCACGTAGTATGTCTGAGGTTCCATGAAATCACCTAGTAGAAGGATATCAGTTGACTTTTAGGCTTAAAGCACGGTGAAAATGATGCTGTTTAAAGTCGAATGTCGGGGCTTGAGGACACTTGGATGATAGCCTGGTTAGTAGATGATGAGTGCATTTTCATTTTTCAGTGAACTATCCTTTTAAAACCTGATCTAAGGCCTCATTCACACCCGGTATGAACATGTGCTTTTTGTGATCAATCTCAAGACAGAGCACTAAATACATTTGTGAATGCACTCGGATACAGATCAGACCACATTTAGAGGTGGTCTGGGCCTCGTGTCCACATTCTCGTCACAGTGTGAACGTGATTGTGTCTCTTCTCGTTGTTTGTGACCTCTGGTATCCGTCAGTCTCGTAACAAAGTGGCAGCCTCTTGGTTGGACGGGTTCAGTCCATGTGGGGCCACATTTTAATGCCAGGTGTGAAGGCACGCACTCGGAGTTGTCAACTCATGATCAGATCACAAAAACCACGTGTTAAAACCGGGTGTGCACGGGGCCTGAATCCCACTCCATGAAACCTGCTCAAATGCTGATGCAACTGTTTTTGGCTGATCCATTTTTATTTCCTGTCACTGTGTCATTTGTCACTGGAAAGCTATCCTCAAAGTAAAGCAGTGTAGACTACTGGCTATGCAATTATATGGTGGTGCAGGATATGGAGGAGTTCTTTCAGCTGCATGTTTATTCTCTTATCACCTAAACCAGGGTGTAGACGTTTTACAGGCAGCTGTTACCTGTTGTAATGTTATTCTTAAGCTAGTCTGATAAATTATTAAAATCTGTGAAGTAAATTATATTATTTAGTTTACCTTTCCAGCCTAGAAGCTACTGGTTATTGCTACGATTAAGTTATCGTCACATCCAAACTTCTGAATTATAAGACATTTTAACACTGTGCCTGTTTTTGGCTGAAACACACAAGTCTGTGTAATGACGTTTTTATTTTTATGTTCACCAGTGTCTGATTAGATGGAGATGAGCCTCAGATGATGTGCCTCCGATGTCACAGGCAAGTTGTAAAGAACAACGTGGAAGTAATCTGTAACTGGATGATGAAACACTGGTGCTACAGGATGAAAAGCCCATCTCCTAATATGTTGCCACGTCTTCAGGTTAATTACGTGTGTGCAATGTAAACCAAAACATTATGATATGTTGTTCTTGTTTGCATTGGTCTTCCATGCTGCGTATTATTCCATGGCAGAATCCTAAGAGTAGTAGAATATGTATATTGGTTAATATAACCTCTGCTCTATGTTTCTGTTTGTTGCCTCAGTTCACAGTTAACATTATTAGTGTTATTATTATAGTCAGATGTGTGAAATGACACTTTCCTCACTATGCACCTTTTATTTCTGTCACTGAAAATCCTTCAGGAACAAGTGAAATTTCAGTTTTGTTTTCTCATAGGATCAGAGTTTTGAAAGCAAATCAATGTGTTGGTACTTGCTGTTATACAAGAAATGCAAAATGGGTACTCAAGATAACTTTTCAAATGTAATAAAAGCACATCTCAATACTATATTGCTTCTGTTGTGCATGCATGTTAGCTGGGAGCAGGGCTGTGGCCTCCGTCATCTCTGAGGATGTTTTGGGGGGGTTTTAGCATCACATGCTGGTTAAAGGCTGACAAACAAGATAACCCACTCTTTATTTCTCCATCAGAATTTTACAATACCTTTTAGACTTGTTGGGTAAAAACGTGACAATCTCTTGTTTTTCTGGGAGGAATCCCCAAATCTTTCCCCCGTAGCGTTTCTGCGTAAGAAAAGAATTATAACTACTAATCAACTAGAAATCTGAGCCCAGGTTTTGTGAGTTTTCTTCATTCTGTTGTGTTCATAATCTGTTGCACAGGAATTTCCTTAAAAGAATTGCACTTTTTAACTTAAATGTGCAGAAACATTCATTGAATAATCAAATAAATGGGATAATAATAATGATAATAAATGTATAAGCAAATTATAGAGAAGCCAGATCATACTCAACAATGCAATGAAACAAAACAGATGAAAAACCACAAATAAATAAAGTATAACACATTGACTATGCAGGTAAGTATTTAAGTAATTCTTTTTTGTGGTCGTTTAAAGTCCCTGTTGACTGTTTAACTTATATCTCCACTCTTGAATGAAAAGTTTATGTAGTAGCTACCTTTTTGTATAACCTGACAGTGTGATGGATATAATGTAGAACCTCCACAGGTGACCTTCCTTGTTTGAACTCCTCTCTGCCTCCTGTCCTTTTATTCCACCCAGTCTCCACCAGTTCCTCTCCATTTGTCCCTACACTCCATCAGCTTTATGAAGGCCGACTGCTGCTTTCCTCTGCGAGGCCGTTTCATCTACATCTGTCACCCCCCACTGGCCCTAAGTGAGTGTCCCTCCACCCCTGTCTGTTTCACACCACTGTGCCAGCCCCCGTCCAGCTTGTCTGCTTGGATGTGCTGACACCAGCAGTGGACATCCACAGGATCAACTATCTGCTGCGTTTATGCATCAGTCCTTTTCATTCCACTGCTGTATACTACCACCGGGGGGATACTTAAAGACATATGTCCTGCACTTAACATCGTCAGCTGCCTCCACAGACATCTGAGCACAGGTCGATCCTCTGCTCTTTGCCAGACCATTATCATAGCAATTAAAAGGCCCCAAATTACCCCATTGACATGCAGCTATGAAGATTAAGCCCAGTGGAGTTGTGGATGTGTGTGTGTCGAGGGAATTTTACTAAGTGGTCGCTTTCATTCTTATTTCTACTGCTGTGTGGGAGAGCAGGAGGTCCAACGTCTGGCAGTAAGTCGATAGAGAACAAAGAAAGTCACCTGTGGATGGAGATCTGGACTCAGAGAGGCTCCTCAGAGAGGCTCCTCATCTCTGACTGTGACAGACAATGTTCCTGCTGAACATCCGCGGAGCAGCCCGACCACTGACCTTTGAATTCAGTTCAATTTGTAAGTGCAAAGCAACAAATCACAACTTACATTATCTCTCGTCACTTTGCAGAGTAAGGTCGAGATGTTACAGTATTATATCCCTCAGCAGCTTTGTCACACATTTCAGAAACTTACTGATAACAGCAGTTACATGATGTAAAACCCAAGTTGCTACAATATATGTGAAAATACAATAAATATCATGAACAATATTACATAAATTATTATGGATAATAGATCAGGAGGAAACATGTTGCCAAGAGAAAGTAAAGCTTTACAGAATCCATTCAACTCACCAGACAATTCTCAGATAGTTTTCCTTCACATATCTTTACATGAATCATTCTGATCTTTTAATGTTTGTCAACCTTAGTTAAACTCCATATTAAACCCACTTAAATTCAGTTATCTTCATACAATATGCTCAGAAAGCATTTTAGAGTAGCAGCTCTTCAAGTCAATCACTGATGTTCCACTGCAAATACATCATGTCAGATATTTACCTGATAAATTCCATCTGTCGCTCAGTCTGTCCTCAGTTCTACCTGAAAATGTTCAGCTGCTATCTATTTATTTTCATAACTGATTGTTTACATTCTTAGCATAATGGTGCTGGTGCTCACATTAAATTATCCTGATACAAACACCACCCAGAGCAAACGAAGCATAGTGCTCACTCTCACTGTAATTCACAGAATCAAATAAACAAAAGAAAATTTAGGAAAAACTCATTTAGTCTTGAATTCATTCAAGCAAAATAAACTTCCACTAACTTTCCCTTGGTGTTTACTAAAATAAAAGCACAGTTGCTTCATACTTGGATTCATAACAGAGTTCATTTTAATGTATGTCATGAATCTTAGAAGAAAGGAATCCGGCTGTGTCGCTTTAATGAAAAAGATTGTACACGGCAGCGTTTTTATTTGTCAGAGAGAAAGATCTAGGGACATTTTCAGTTACCATTCCATTATGAAGTTTGAATTATTTATAATATTCCTGTGACGTCTACTCTCTTAAGCAAGTTAAAACTGACTTCTGTTTCCTGTTGTCCTATAAGAAATTGTTGTTTTATTGTTTTGTGCACAAAGTGTTGATTCACTGCTTTTCCCTTTTCACTTTGGGTCCGTCTGCAGCTGCACGATTAAATCTCAGACCGACCAGCTTTGACATGTATTTAACAGAAATTTGCACCATAGTGTCTGTAACACACATTAAGGAAATGGGGACAGAACCATGATTATGTATCATTCCAATCAATATCCTGTGTCACAAGCTCTTTCATATCGTAACCAGGGTTTCATTTCCCCAGTTTCTTACTACATGATTTTATCTTCACTGCTTTTAATTTAAAAACTGGCTTCTGGGAGATGTAATCTCATTATTTTTAAGAATTTGAACTTCATCACAGCAACCATCTCACCCAGTGATGCAGTTATCTCCCTCCTCATCCTCATTAAAACGAGTGAATGAACTGTGTACATTATATATGTGGGCCTTATATATAAGAGGCTTCCGAGATAATGAATCCCACGGAATAAAAACCCACATCAGGCTGGGATTGTTCCTGAAGGATGACCTCCTTCTCCTCCCCCCTCTTCCTCCCCCCCTGGACTTTACAACAGTCATTAGCAGCTCATATCCACCCCGGGTGGAGGCGATGGGCCCAGTCTGTGTTTTTTAGTGGTGAAAGGGAACAGACAGCCCCCCATTTTCATGCTTCTAAAGGCTCATTGAGATGGAGAACGAGAGTCGTGCAATGTTTTATGATGTCGATGGGTAAACCCCAGCAGGTGAGCCGCAGTCACAGTAACACAACGTCTTTAATGCATGCTGGGCCTCTCCAAACTACAGAGTGGTCCCCATTACATCAACAAAGAGCAAATACAAACAATCACCAACAGCTGACATGCTGCTTAGCAGAGCTGGTCCTGTGCAAAGAATGCAGATGTGCAAAAACACTTCTCCAGTCTCAACTCAGCAAACCTGCAAGATGTTTGGATGTAAAACAAAAAGATAGACATGCTCCTGAAGTTTTTCAGGGGCAGAAATAAAGGATATGCAGTAGAGGAGGAGTCATTTAACATATATTTATCTAATTAAACAGCATTAACAGTGAACTGAGGCAACAAACAGGAACATGGAGCAAAGGTCAACAAATAGAAAAGTTCTACATGGTGGTTAGAAGTTAAGAATCTGAAATTGTCTGCTAGCAGATTGAAACAATTGACTTGAATGTAAGAGTTATGAGTAATCAAGAAAATGACTTGCATTTAAACCAGTGACAAGTTTTCAGATTCATCCATGGGAATCATCAGGATATATGGGTAGTCTGTGTTGACATGGTGAGAATACTTTCTCAAACTCTGACATTTCTCTTGTGTTGTTCTTTCACACAATTTAGTAGAAGTGTAAAAAATATGTACTGTCAAATTATTCCCAAATTATAAAACAAATGGGAAAAAGAAATGGGCCCTAAGATCACAGATAATGCAAGGTATTGTTCAATCCAATTGAATATTTAACACAGCCTTCACTAACCAAGGAGAGTTTGCATTGAATATAACCTGAAATTCCCCCAACATGCAACAGATTGGCAGATGACACCTTTCTCCATAAGGTTCAGAATTACTGGTTCAGTGTCTTCAATTAAAAAACGACGACCTCACGATCACCCATGGGTAAAACTGATGACCTGGACAAATGAAGCAGAGCACAACAGTGTTTCCTATCTTACAGCCTCAGTAAAGAAGCTGCTTCTACACTGGGAAAATAAGAGGTCCCTGATTGAGATGTGGCTTAGTGACCTCACGAATACACTTAACTTAGAAAGAATAACATACACCATTTGGGATAAGGTTCAGTAGTTCGACAAGATTTGGGCTTTCGTCATTCACTTCCTTTCACAAACAATATTAATTCGTTCGGCTCTTTCATTCTCTTTAAGAGTTTTTGTCTTGGTTTGTTTTTCCTTTTCAAAGTTCTTTCGTTATGTCCTGTGTTTTCTTTTCTATACATATGTTCAAGAAAACCAAGCACGATGCCATCTTCTGTCTGCTCATGTAGGTGTTTGTGTGCCCTTGTGTTTAATCTAAGTCACCATGCTTGAATTAAATTATCTTGACAAAACATCCCAGAACATTTTCTATGTTACAGTGAGTCCTTGGCTACAATTTGAACCATCTATCTATACATCTGGATCATTTGTCATTCCAGTCAGATGAACTCACTGTAAACAAGAAAGTTGTTCCTCTGTTTGGATAATTTATCACATGATTATTTTTCATAAGGAAATGATACTTGTATTCTGAAAAGAGATTCAAATATTTATTGTAATCAGTCACACGAGGCAGGATGATGTAACTTTTAGTCTTTTATTTTCAGATCACATCACAACTTGAAGACATAACTTGCACACTTACGTTTTATTCTTTCTTTTTACAAAAATATTATTTACACTTGAACGAGAGATGAAATACAAAATAAATAGACAGTTAATGAAACAATCTTTAGGCATGGCGCAGCAGCACACAGTAACAGGAGTCCGAGTCCTGCCGGTCTGAAGACAAGGCAGCGACAGTCCCTGCTCACACTTTACATCTTTTACTCTTTCTATTCTTGTTGCAGGCCCCGGGCCCTCAGCCTCGTCTGGACATGCACTTCCTCCCTGCGAGTGCTAGATCAGCATTCTGGCAAGATGGCGCCGCAGCACTTTAAGTCACTCTCAGTCAGTTAACGTCAAGGATCCCTTCACCAGCACGAGTAAGAGAACAGCGGGTACTGGCTCCACTCGGCCACGTTGCCATGGTGATAGCCGTGGTGCACAGCTTGCGGGGTGTAGTCGGCAGTCAGGTGGTGAGGAGGTGGGTACTGAGCGGGACCGGGACCACTCCACTGGCCCAAGGGCTGCTCAGCACCGTAGGGGCTGTAGATGTGGTGGCCAATGACCCCAGGCTTGCCGGCCTGGGCCATGCTCATGTTGAGGACCCCGGTGTAGTCCTGAGGGGCAGGGAGGGGCTGGGGGCCACAGGGGGGGGGCCCGATCTCCTGCGTGCGGGGTTTTGAAGAGTCGTGATCGGGGACAGTGGCGACATCAGGGACCCTGGACTCAAAGCTGCTGCGTTCTGTGCCACTGTTGCTGCTGCCGATGCTGGAGGAAGGAGAGGGAGACTTCCCGTACTCGTGGAACCTGGTGGAAAAAGGAAGGTGGTCAGTGATTTGCTGATCAGGATGAGATAACGCTCTTATTGTGAAACAACCTGAATGGTATTCACCTGTACGGCTGGTAGGAAGCAGGAGCAGGAACCAGCTGCTCTGCGTTGTACATATCTCTGTTGTCTGCCCCAGCAGGAGATTCAGTCCTCGCTCTGTGCTCCCTGTCAGCGGCCCACGGGGAGTAACGCTCCTCTTTGACACCATTGACCTCTTTCCTTTTGGGAAGCTCTCCTTCCTCTCCATCATAGGCCTCATAGGATGACGGGCAGAAATCTAAAAAGACACCAATCATTAGCTCAACTACAGGAAAGTACAAGAAAGTAGATGTGAGGAAGAAGAGAGTCTTGAGTGCAAACCTTGTGGACTGTCTTCCTCCGAGTCCCTGTCTAAGATGTCTGACATCTTCGGTCTTTTCTCGGGGCAGCCTGGGTTCTTGTTCGAACGCCTGCAGAGGAAACATCATTAGAACAGTTCTACATGTTACATTGGCTGGAATCTACTGCTGATGCATTTCTGGGAAAACAGGCCACACTGCATGTATCTGACCAGTGTGAAACCCACCGTTTTTTATTGGTGCCTTCCTCCCGGAAACCTTTGGCAAAAGGGTTGTGATCGATCTTCAGCTTTGTAATCTGCAAGAGAATAGATGTCAGTTCAGTTAAAACTCTCAGTCATGTAGCAGATTGTGTTGGTTTTAGTTAAATGCTGGGGACTGACCCTGGTGTTCTGGTAGGCGGTGACGGCTGTGAACGAAGTCTCGGGGTAGGTGAAGGTCTGGAAAACACTCCAGCGGACGCTGAACAGGTCGTCTGCCTGGACGATGTGGAAGCGTGGGTGGTAGCGATGCATGGAGTGCAAAATGATCTGCAGAGAAGAAGAGAGTGATTCAATTTAAATTTATTGAGCTCCTACTCTACAAGTATTCATGGTATTGTCAATCAAGAACTTGAAATCCTTCAAAAGAAGCCATGTGGAATCATCTGGAAATACAAGGTTGTGGTCTAGCACTCCATCTCTGAGCGCTCTTACTTACATGGCCGTGCTGGTCGAGCGTATTATTGGTGAGTTTGAGCTTGAGGAAGGAGACGGACTGCTTCATCCAGTGGCTCCCGGGGGCCGGAGAGTCGGGGTGGAGGTAGGTCCTGCAGGGAGGCTGGGGCTCCGCTTTTCCTGCCACCTCCCATTTCTCTTTATTCCACTGTAGGAAGAGGGACAGATAGTCAGTCAGTCTGTCATAACAGAAAAACAAGCGGTCTACAGATTCCTCCATTCCCACAGTGTGAGGAGCACGGCAGAGTGGAGAGTGACGGCCGGCAGGTACCACCCACAGAGATAGGGGCCGGCACAGTGGGCTCCCAGCAGGGAATAGAAAAACAGGAAGAGATAGCAGCCTTTGATGTACCATGTCAGGAGGGGGTGATAAACAGGGGGTGTCTTGTCTGGGGGATTGTGGTCACCACTCTGATTTCTCTGCCCAAAGCCATGGCTGCTGCACATTAATCAATTAAACTTTATTTAAATAGCCCATATTAGCAAATTAACACTAGACTAGAGTGAGGAGAACAACTTCAACATGGAACAAACTGTAGAAAACTAGAGAGTCACACATGAGGGATCCCTCTCCCAAGATGAACAGAATAGATGGAGATACTTTAATCTGAGATGAAGGTTTAAAACATTTATAAATGAGAGAATTTCTGTCTCACCTTATACCTGAATCCATCCTCAGGGACCATGTCAACCAGCAGAATGTATTTTGCACATGGAATCAGGCCGGAGAGATTCACTTTACAGTGTGGAAACATCCTCCTGTGGAACATAGAGGTGAACACATGATGAATAAATCAAGAAGCAGACACGGAAACACAGGGCGCTACTCTACCTGCATTTTGCATTTCATATTTTCTTTTCTTACCTTCCGGGTTTAGTGATGATCATCTCTGTCCCTATTTCATGAAAAGACTTCCAGAGATCAGGGTCCTCGAGAGTCAACCTGATGTTACCCTGGAGATAAGCATCAGGGCCGGCAGCCATGGAGGGAGGAGGAGGGCCGCCGAAGTTAGGCTTCAAGTCTACGAAATAAAAAGATTACTCATAGGAATGCATCACCAGAGAGTGAAATATGAAGTTACATGCTTGAGAGGTGTGATCTGATAAAGACAAGCACTGCTTTGGAAATTGGAGTAATCGACTGAGAATCTCAATTTAAACAAAAAAAAAAACCTCACCTCTGATGGACTGCATTCTTCAGGATCAGGAGCAGCACAGGAGATGTATGAAAGTGTTCATGCAGGGTCAGTGAACAATCCAAGTATCAGAGATATCCACAGTGTTTCTTCAGCTCCGTTAACCCTCCTTCACATTTAGAGCCAAATGGTAGAGAATAGAAATCCAGCAGCGAAGGACGGGGTCACTCAGTCTCAGTGGTGTTGCAGGAGCTGTTCCCAGATCTCAAGTCCTGCAGGACTGGGTGACCATGACTTTTAAGGGGAGACCTGGGGTGGGTGGGGTCAGGAGAACCATTCCCAAGCTTTGAAGTGGCACAATCATGAGTCAATGTCCTGCTGTGATTGGAGGGTGCTGGAAATCAAAGAGACTTAACAGAGCCTTGATACCATCCCCACAGGAAGGGCTGCGGAGGAAATGCATCTTTATTAACTGCTAAGAGACTTTAAAACAAATATGGACGCACTCCTCTGCCGCAGAGCGAGGCTCGCATCGGCACCAGAGTCTGTGTCAATATCATTCACATGCATGTAACCACACGTGAAAATGCTATTTAGTGTGTTTGTGTAATGTGGTAAACACCCAGTGTGATCTATTTGACACAACTGGGAGAAAAGCAGGGGAAGGTGCATTTAAACAGAATGATCCACTGAAATGTATGTGTGCATCTTAGTATTTACAAGTCAAAACAGGTTTTAAACTTACCACATAATAAATTAATATTAAAATGCTTAAACTGATATCGTTTTAAAACGTTCACAGGATTGCCTTGATCCTTTTCTTCTTTCTCAGCTCTCTCCATGAGAGAAATGACGCAGTGGGTGGAAACGCTGTGTAAACCCATAATGGTGTGATGATAACATGCACACTCTTTCTGCAGGTAACTTGTACCTGGGGGCGTCCTCAGAGGCCTGCAGGACTTGTGCTGGTGGTGGAGGTGGCAGATGCATGTGTAGGTGGGGGGTTGTGTATTGGGGTGTCTAGACAGGCCCCTGCTCTGATAGATAATCTCATTAAGCTGGTTTCCCTTGAAGGAGCTGGTTTCTGCATGTGGAGAAAGGCCCCTGTGTATAGACAGGCAATTAACAGCCAGTTAGCACCACAGGCCCAAGTTGGCCTTGAATGGGACAGGAGGGGTAGGGGCATAAAGACCATGCTCCAACAAACCCATGTTTCCCCCCCCACCCTCCACATCCAGAGCAGAATCCACGGGCGTCACTATATATTCACGGGCCTGTCTGGACCTGGAACTTACCGCCTCAGTGCAGAGGAAACAAATGAATGAAAATGAAATTCAGAAAGTGTTTGCATAGAAGGGAAAATAATTACAACTCGGCTTCCCTTCTTGTTTCCACTGAAAAATTTGAATTGAGGGAACTTACACATCTCATTCAACTTCATTTTCATTGTATTCTCATGTCCGTGCGCTGCATACAGTGCCCTCTGTCCGCTCAGCACATACAAAGGCACCGCATCCTTGGCTTTTAGCTTCACGAACCACTTACCAAAGCCACTTGTAACTCATGATTTTCACTGCAAATGAATGGTTTTTAAGGCGGTGCAACACGCTGTAAAATCAGCACTGAAGTGTGCACAAAGACACGTTTACTGCAAGAAAGTCTTTCCTGTGGAAATATTGACCAGCTCCTCTAGTGCTGGATCAATGCAGTTATTAAACTGGATAATAACCTTGGGCTTTAATGATGCACTTAAGGAAGCAGAGAGCTACTTTACTTTTTAGTGTGTTAATTGCCCCGAATGCCCCCCCGACACCTCCTCCCTCACCCGAGCGTGGCGGCACAACATTGGCCTTGAGGATGTGTTTTTATCCACCTTATGTGAAGCCAGTTGTTGTGGAGGAGTTAGTAGTCACAGGTTCAGTGTGGCTCTCCTCACCACCCCTGCATGCTGGGGTCCCGCTTAAACTGTTTCACATGAGCCAGAGAGGTCACACAGCTTTTTTTGGGGGGGTGGGGGGGGTACTGAGAGATTCCGCTGATGAATTCTCTGCAGATTTACTTCAGATCTTAGCAGCTGAGAAAAATAGTGTGAGTGCTGAGGTGTACGTTTCAGCAGCAGCCGCGTCAATCCCATTACACAGTGGCTCTGGAGGTGACAGGTGTGACTGGTAAAAGGCCTCGGTGCATGGCCTGGGGACACGGAGGGATGACGGAGGGAGCGATGTCTTATATAACAGTCGGCCTGGGGGTGGGTTGGAGTGGATGACACATCAGGGAGGTCGTAGAGGACGGATAGAGGATGAGGTGGATTTTATTAAAGGCCCAAATATGTTGTATGAAGGAGGCTACTTATTTAAATGACTCATCAGAAACATCTTCAGTCATGTTATTCCAGTCCTCACTTGAGTCCCCACATCTCCTGCCTGATTCCACAACATCTTTCCCCCCCCAGACCACCTTCAGTGGCCGTCATGTTCCACCTCTCAGGTGTCAGTCTTCGGCCATTTGCTTTAACTGCACAGATCTCCCTTGTGCTCCACATTTAACAGCTGCCAATATACAGCCAGGGCCCGGGGATCAGACGGCTCTGCAGCAGCCCAATAAAGAGCCCCCGGAGTGGACTGACGAGAAATCTCACACCTTTCGCTCACATTAGCCATGCAGCATGCCCTTTTGATGCTTAATTGGCCACTTTGAGGGGTTTGTAGAGATAGCAGCCCAGTGGCTGGAAGCATGATGTCACAGGAGACTGCACAATATCACACGGCAGGAAAAATGCCTTCACCTGACAAGTCCGAACAAGTCTAACTTTATATGCTTAGAGCGGTTGTGTTGGAACAGAAATGCAAATACCTGCATGGCACCCAAACATGTACTATATTTATCTATTTTCTTAAATTTTATTAGTCAGATTTGATTCAATTTAGAAGATTGTGGTATTATGTCCTCTGCCCTTGATTAAAATTAAAAAATATGAGTTACTTTATACTCTGTATTCTTTATTATTATCATCATTATTATTATTAGTTGTTTTTGATATGTTTATTTTTTAGTTTCTTATGAGGAGCTCTGTTAGCTGAGAACTTCCTGTGAAAATGATGCTCACAGATTTTGTTTAAGATTTGACAAACTGCAAAAGCTTTGAAAAAAAAAAGAAAATATATAAAAGGGAGATGCAGCTTCCCTGTCCTAAATGCAGAGTGACCATGATCTCACGCACACCGACTACGGGGGGCCGGGCGGGTTCACATTTGGTCGAGCACATAAGAAAACAAACCTCAAATCTAGCTTGCCTGGCAAAGGGGGCAAATGACAACTTCACAGCAACTTCATAAGACACTCCTGGAAGTTGCTAATGAAGACTAATGACTTCCCTCGTGTCAGAGACTTCACACCAGAGTGTACGAGCCCTTTGACCGCAGGGTCTGTGGTCAGCGGGGTGGTCCTAGAGATGCAGCACGGTGACCAGAGTGAGGGGCTTTTCCTGATGTAAAGTCTGGAGTTCAAAATCATTTAAAAGAGAGATCATTGCCACTAAATCTCACACTTTAATGAAACATATTTGAGTTTATCTTGGAAGATTTTGTCAGCGACAAGTTGATCTATTGTGTTTTTTTTTGGCAGCTATGAAATTCCCTGGGGATTAATTTAAATAACATGGTTTCAGTTTCTAAGGCAACACCGGCTGCGCATAAACTTAAAACTCTGTTGTGCTGCTGCTGCGTCCAAGCTGACAACTAACTTACTGCTTTATATTCCAGTAATTTTTACGACCACCTTCCACTCTGATTGAAAACAGGTTCGATCCATGATAAGGTAAATCTGCAATGTATTTCTGTTGGGTGGATAAAGTCGTCACTTTGAGTCTGAGGTGCTCACACTGGCAGGAAAACGTCAACCACATCTGCAGTGAATTATTAAGAGTGATGCAGTAGGTTTTAATACATTAATATTAATTTAAAACAACATGGAGTGTCTGCTCATGCATCATATTCACTTTCCTGAAACACTGTACAGGTAACAAGTGTCTGTTGTGCCAAACGACAAAGCTTTATGAATGATCCCAATGAAAGTGCATGTTGTATAACTTGTGTTTTATGTCAGACAATCGTTGTGGATGTGGATTCTCAAAATCAGTTGGAATTTTGCGTCATTAGAACGTATTATAACAGATGACGCTTTAACACTTACTGTGCTTCTAAGCTCAGGAGCTTTCTGCTGATCTGTCTTATCTGATGCGAGGAACTCTGTGGTTAAATATTGTCAGGAGCACACAGAACAAATATGCATTTCTCAAATATATATTTTGGTTTGACATCTATAATTCATTCAGTCCAGACATAAAGAACAGTTCCCTTCCAGCAGCCTGAGCCAGGGGAGGTGAGTTTAAGCCTTTCCCCTGGTCTCCTCTTTAGCCGTGGTACATTTGCTGAAATGCAGCAGAATAGTAAAAAAAACAAATAATTAAATCAAATACAAAACCATTTTTTTTTCGGAAATCAAGGGTGAGAGTTAACACTTATTCAGTTGTGTGTAGCTTTAAAAATAATTTTCTAGACATCTTTCAAAAATCAGTAAATATCTCTCTATAGAAAACAATCTGTAAAAAACATTCTATTGTCTTCCTCTGAGTTAAGCTAGAATTGTGACAAATTTACCAAAGTGGTTTGGAATGGAAAGGCATCTGTAATCAAGAGTCTGCCCCAGCATACGTCTCAATTCCACTGAAGTCAGGAAAGGTCTCGCCTGGTGTCTGTTAACGCCGAGTCTATTCCTGAGTTGACTGGAATCTAAGCTTACCTCAACGTTTGCACTCTCACACATGCACACTCCTCAAGCTTAATGCTCCACCCATTAAAGCCAAAATGTATGGAAAGATATTTGGATTGTGATATGTAGAAAATCTAATTCCATAATAAGCAAATGCTCAAATTTCCATATCATTCAGATCGGTGCTGGTGACAGGACGTCTTCCTGGTATAAGAACTGCTCAGCTTCGCTACAAATGCACACAGAACAAAAAGAAAAATATATATCAGGACAATTATTATTACAAGAAATACAGTGCATACAAAAATAGCACAAAGTTAAGTGCTAACTGAAAAAAACATCCCGAATATTAAGTGTAAACATTTCCAATCTGCTACAGGTTGTGAGGCTCCACAGACGGCCCTCGACTGCAGCCGATTGTCCTCATTTCACCTTTGTGTACATTGAAATATGTCCATCATCAAAAACTGCGTGTTGCAGATTAAAATCTCATGCTT